CTGAAAAGGTGTGGATTACAACCCAAAAAACCTCCCAGCCCACCAGGTTGGGGTGGGAATTTGTGAGAGTAAAGGCCCACCCCTCTTGAAGTTCCCAAGGTTGAGAAACACTGTGTATTACCCTAAAGCACTACTTTTGGAAAAGTTCGCCCATCACTTCAAATTTTTAAAAAATGCAAAATAGGCTTTTTTACTTCACTGGGTTCCCCAATTTTCCTTGTTTTAGGAGGGAGGGGATAAAAGCCTGACCCCCCTCCCTTGCAGCAAGGCCCAAGCATATTTTCATTCTTCCAAGTTTTCACCTCTCTCCTTCCACCCTTTTAGCCCCAGGCAATGCCCACTGGCTCCTTCTCGTGACCCTGATGATATTGCACCATCCCTGATACGCCAATCCCGGTTTTGCTCCAGCCACGGCGCAACGCGGGACCGAGGCAGCGCTTGACGCTCACCGCAATGCTTCTACGGGGACCCTGATGCCCGACAGGTTCACGCAGTTCAGCGAATAGGCACTGCAGAAAAACTGTTTTAAAGATGGGGGGAATTCTTTTCCTTTCCTGCGGAAGAGAGCGTGCCTGTTATTCACGGGCAAGAAAAAGAGCCCTCCTCTTGCAAAGGAAGAAAGAGGATTTCCTTACCGATGGGAAAAGGTGTTCCGCGCAAGGTTGAGGTAGCATAGACGTGGACAGCAGCCGTGTAGCAACGCACTGAAAAGCTACGGGGACAGACAGACAAGCCCACACCGAGGCGTGAACCATGGTCCTGCTCGCCGGCTCGCAGGCCACCACCGAATTTTGCACCTGGGCCCCCGGTCACCCCGTAGGCACTCCGTAGCCAACCCGTCCCCACGTTCTCTGGAAATCTTACTGCGTCTACCGCACAGTCCGTGGAGGACAGGTCCAGATGGATCAAAGCGTTGGGCTGTGCCAGGAATGAGTAGAAACTCTGTAGGGAAGGGGAGAAGGAAAGGGATAAACCAGGATGTTCAAGCTTTTTTTGGGGGATGGGTGGGCAGGGCCATCTCTGGCTCCTGCATCAGAATCTCAGGGCCGTATTTCAACGAGAGGGTTGGGCCGTGATAAAGAAGAGGGCGACATCAGGACAAAAACCAAACTCAGTTCAATTCTCTTCCAGCATCAGTCTCTACCATGTTGGGTTTTTTGGCTTGTCCGATGCTGAATTTTCCCATGATGCTGGAGATAAGGGGAGAATATGGTTTTGGATCCCCCCCAAAGCTGGAAGTCTCATCCAGCAGGCGATCTTCTGGACAATGGTGTGAACTGGCTCCCCAATTCCCCCCTGCAACTTGATGAGAGGCCGGTCACTCACATTTGCCTCGTCAGTGCCCAGAAGACCCGAATTTTTGCTTAAGTCAAGGTGGCGGAGGGAACTGGTGAACGCTGGGTTGGCACTGAAGGTCTGGCACAAAATGGCAAGTCCTGGGGAAGGAAACCGAGAATTGTTTGGGTCTTGAGGGTTTAAGGCCAGCTCCCCCAACTTCGGGATGTGAAGCCCTCAATTCCCAGAATTCTCAGCCATGGCTAGGCTAACTGAGGAATCCTGGGCATTGAAGTCCAGGGGACACTGCCAAGCCATTGCTGAGGATTCTGGGAATTGAAGACCTCACACCTGAAGGATGCCCGGTTAGTTTGGCGTATAGGATTGGTTGAAATCCCTAATCTACCATGAATGCATGTTTTATCAATTTGTGTTTTTTATTCTGTTTTTAAGTGTTAACCATCCAGAGTCATGCATATATAAATACACATATAAATGTATTAAATAAATAGATAAATTCATTCCTTCCTTCCCTGGGCACGCTTTCATTTTCTCTCTCCCTCTTCCAGCTACCTCAAGAAGAAGATGAAAAGAAAGGAAATTGCAGCATTGCAAATTGCTCCAAGATCCTTATCAGAAGCAAAGTACAGCACAATCTTTGAATTGACACATCACCCAGGACTCTTCCTTTGCCCCAGCTGTGCCCCGTGGTACCTTTAGCAGTGATGCTGGTCTTGGAAAGGCAAAGTTTGCTAAGGCCTTTGGGAAAACAGAGTAGCTGCTGACTCAGGGCACTGAGGCCTGTTGAGAGGGGAGAGAAGAACGGGGTCAGGGTCTCTCTTCCCCAGGGTCCACCCCCATTTCAAAGCATGCTTAGATTGGCCCACAAGCCTCTGCGGGATCCAGTGCTTTCATCAAAACGAAGGAGGCAACATGGCACCGTTGCACCGCTGCCCGGCAAGCGCCACTCCTTTCATACGTGCGTGTGACATCACGATGAACATACTAGCACCACTGAGCTCGCGTTGCATTGATTGACTGATCGCATCGATGCATGGCTGGTTTCCCCCACCCTAAGCCCCCTTGCAGATGCCGCCGGATCCCCTGTCCTCAACCCGGTGCCCTCCAGATGTGATATGGCTCTAACGCTCAGAATCCCTAACCCTCGTCGAGTCAGGATCCTGGGAGCTGAAGTCCCACACCTTTGGGGAGCCCTGGGGTCGAGGGCGAGCTCCTTAAATTACCTTTGTCCTCCAGAGGATTGTGCGAGAGGGTGAGGACGTGGAGAGCAGTGTTGGGGTTTTCTGCCAAAACGCAGGCGAGTTTCATGGCAAAATCACTATGGTCAAAGAGAGCAAGAGCAGATCAGTGGGAAATCTTACAAGAGACACATTTTTAAGGACACGTTTACAAGCTCCAAGATGTGGTAACAATGGAGAACAGTGTTCAGTGTCGAGGCAGAGAGAATTCAACACAATGTTCTTTTACCCACAAACATTTGGATCTTTGTTTTCCACAAGCAAGAGCACAGAGGCTAACAACTATACAAGCTAAAACAAGGGGGCAAATTTGGAGGTTATCAGGGCATGCATGGGGATCAAAAAAGTCAAGATGGGGGTCATGAATGTGCAATCAAACTCCACCCCTTTTGTACGTGTGCAAGTACAAATCACGTCATCACATTTGCCTTCTTGATCCTTTTGACCATCCCAGTGTGCACCCTGATAATTAAAACGTCTTGGAACACAATAGCTATGAAAGTGAGTTTATAAAAACAAGCACAGAGCCCATGATTTAAAGCAAAAGAACAAGGAGACAAACTTAGAACCTAACTGAAAGATATCACTGAGAAAAGAGCCCCTCCGCTCCCTAATTTAAAAGACCTTAGTCCCCCAACTCTGTTTGGGGGTTATAGTAAAGGGAGGGTCCAAGAAATGGAGCAAATTTGCTGACTTGGGACTTTGGAAATTTCAGAATGGGTTTCCAAGCACAAAACCAGCCTCAGATTGTTTTCTGAAAAGTTGGGTGCAGAACTAGGAGATCCACCAGAAGACCCGAGGAACGAAGAATTCTCTCTGCATCAAACTTTGCGTCAGTAAATGTGAATTTCAAAGTCTAGCCAAGCCTCACGTTTTTAACCCTGCATTGTCCAGCACCAGCTCCTCCAGGTGATGGGACTTGCTCACCGTGTGCAAAATCTGCTCGGCTACTTCAGAGCCCTGAAAAGGAAAGGAAATAGGGGAGCGGAAAGAATAAGGTGGGAGAAGAACTTGAGCTAGCACGTCCTAGGGGAAGTCCAGCCAAACTCTGAGCAAGCTCCTTCCTCATTCATTCATTCATTTTGATAAAAAAACAAAGAACAGCCCTGCTGATCAGACCAAGGCCCATCTTTCTCCCAGTGGCCAACCAGATGTCTGGGGAACTGACAAAGAGATAGACACCTTCTCCTCTCCTGAAGTTGTTCTCCTGCAAGTAAGATTTGGAGGCATCTGCTCCAGACCTGGAGATAATGTGGAGTCTTCAAGACTGAGAGCCCTCAAAAAACCTGTCCTCCAGGAATTTCTCCAATCCCCTTTTTAAAGCCATCCAGGGCGTGCCTATCCCGCCTTGTGGTCATGAAGTCCACAGGTTAGTGATGTGGTGTGTGAAGAACAGCATATTTTGTCAGTTTTTAATCTCCTTCCAGTCCTGATGTCTGGAGAGGAGAAAACTCCCTACCCACTTTCTCCATGTCTGATTTTATTCATCTCAATCACATCTCCCTTCTGTCCCCTTTTGCCAAGCAAAGGAGCCCCAAATATTTCAGCTTTTTCTGAATCAGGAAAGGGGCTGGTTGTCCTCTTCTGCGTTTTTCCAGCTCTGTTATCCACAGTCTCCCCGGTGCAGACATACGATAGATGTGTCTAATGCCACCACAATGTTGGCGTTTTAATTTTCAATCCCTAGCACAGAATTTGCCTTTTTCCAACAGATGCATGGCGAGATGTACCCCGATCTTCCTCAACATCTTCTCTAAGCTACAGCCTATACATCATCCTCTTGTAAAAAATCTGCTCTTAGCAGTTTTCCCTCCCTATCATTTCCAAATGTTGGGTGGTAGCCCTTGGTCCTCTGGCCAGATCCTACTTTCCTGAGGAAAGATGTGGCTGGCTGGCCAGACAAACCTGGGAGACCGGCTGTGGATCCTGGAATGTAGGCCAGATTGTCTGGAAGGAGCACCCCTGTATTCAGAACAGCTTTACCTCCTGTCTCTACCACTGGACAGAAGGGCGACCACAGACAAGGAAGGAGAACGCTCCAAGACAGTCCTGGGAACGTACCAGCCGCAAGTCCTTGCAGTAAAGTTTGGTGAACCACTGGTTATACGCCAAAGCTGCCACAATCAAAGCAAGGTCTCTGGGAATGGAAAAAAATCAAGGGGGAAAAAAGTTAGAAGAAAGATGGATCAATGATGGTTCATCTCACAAACCTGCCCTCTCCTTTCAGACCTCATCCGTGAACCCTAGAGCTGTGTTTCTCAACCTGAACAACTTTAAGCTGTGTGGACTTCAACTCCCAGAGTTCCCCAGCTGTGTGAAGTCCACTCATCTTAAAGCTGCCAAGGTTGAGAAACACTGAGCTAAAATAAGGTGAGGTTTAAACTGAGCAAGCTGAGTATGTTGTGCAAATATAGCCACGAGGTTTTTCACTAACTAGGTTAAGTGTCTTCTGCAAACCCAACCAGATGGCACATACTAGTCTTCCTGAGGATCAAAGGAGGGATAGGCTCCTGCATCAAGCGAAGCATGAGGTTGGTGGAGGTCAGAAGCATGAACAATTTCTTTTGCCCTTCCTTCTTTCATCCATGGAGGGCAAAAGAATACAGGTAGTCCTCCACTTACGACCACAATTAGGACTGGAACTTCTGTTGCTAAGCGACACGGTCATTAAGTGAGTCATGCCCCATTTTATGACCTTTTTTGCCATGGTCGTTAAGTGAATCACTACAGTCATTAAGCGAGTCCAGCTTCCCCCACTGACTTTGCTTGTTGGAAGCCTCCTGGGAAGGTTGCAAATGGAGAACATGTAACCCCAGGATGCTGCAACCGTTGTAAGTACAGTGGAACCTTGGTTTACGAACTTAATTCGTTCCGTGACTCTGGTCGCACCCCGAATTGGTCGCAACCCGAAGGAA